TGGGGCTGGGGGCTGGGGGCTGGGCGGCGGGGCAGGACCGCACCAAGGCTGCTTCCAGCCCGAGCCTCATTTGGGCAGCAGTTGGCAGACTTCAGGCTGTGCTTTTGTTTTTGTTTATTTACTCATTTTTAATATTTTTATTGATTTCAGCAAGGAAAGGAGAGAGAGAGAATCATCAGTGATGAGAGAGAATCATGCATCAGCTGCCTCCTGCAAGCCCCCCACCGGGATCGAGCCCACAACCCGGGCATGTGCCCTGACCGGAATCGAACCCAGGACCCTTCAGTCTGCAGGCCGAGGCTCTATCCACTGAGCCACACCGGCCGGGGCTGCTTTTGTTTTTAGATGTTTCTGGTGTCACTAAGCGAGGTTGCTGATTAGAGAGGCGAGAGGAAGAGAAAGGGAGGCGCTCCCTGCGCGGGGCGGGGCCAGCTCCCCTGTGGCCTCAGGTGTCCGGGTTTGTTATCCTGCGGGCGACGCTTCCTAGAACGAGCTGCCACACCCGGGCAGCAGGCCCTGCTGCCTGCGTGGTGCTGGTTAGTTAGACGCCCCTCGTGGGGCTTTCGGGTGTCCCCGCTCCCCCGTGTGACCCGCAGCCGGCTGGATCGGCGCGGGAGGATGGCCGTCAGGGACACCGCAGGTGTGGGAGCTCTGGGTGGGGGGGGGAGGGGGGGGGGGACCCAGGCAGAGGCTGGGACCCTGGGCTTGGGGCCTGCAGCCCCAGAGGCTGGAGTGCTAAGGTCCTCCCGGCCCACCCTGCAGGGGCGTGGTGAGCATGGGACGGGGTGGGGGTGGGGGAGGGCACAGCTGAGAGCCAGAGGGTGCAGAGGGGTGGAGCTGCTGGCAGGGCCAGCCATGGGGGCGGGGGCTCCGGAGGGAGAGCTGGGTGATAAAAGTGGGTGCTCAGAGGGGCCAGCCACGACTGCAGCCAGAGCGGAAGGCAGGAACGGGTATGAGGGGGCCCCTCCTGGCACAAGGGGCCTGAGCCCTGACCCTGGCGGGTCCCTCACACCAAGGCACCGCCCCTGCCGCGTCTCTTCGGGGCCAGCACCCAGAGCCTCCCCCATTATCTCCCATCCAGACGTGGACGAATGTACCACGGGGCTGGCCCAGTGCGCCCACGGCTGCCTCAACACGCGAGGGTCCTTTAAGTGTGTGTGCCATGCGGGCTATGAGCTGGGGGCGGACG